TTGATGTTTATGTAATGAATAACTTATTTATTTTTCAGGCCGTGAAACAAAACATGCTCACGGAGTGTAAATGTCACGGAGTTTCCGGATCGTGCACAATGAAGACTTGCTGGAAGACCTTGCCGTCCTTCTCCCAGATTGGAAACTTTCTAATGAAGAGATATCACACTGCTAAGAAAGTTACAGCCTTCTGGGGAAAACTCTCTTCCTCCAAAGAACCGTTATATCTTCACCAGCAATCGAAGCGTCACCATCGGAAGCCCAGGCCTAAAGACTTGGTGTATCTTCAGCCATCTCCTAATTACTGTGACATGGATTTATCGCGTGGTTCCTCTGGAACCGTAGGGCGGCGCTGTAATCAAACATCTAATAATATCGGCGGCTGTGACCTGCTATGCTGTGGTCGAGGCTATAATACTCACCAGTTTACAAGGACATGGCAGTGTAACTGTAAATTCCATTGGTGCTGTTTTGTTAACTGTAACACGTGTAGGGCCAGAACGGAGATCTATGCGTGCAAATGAGACCCAGTAAAACGTGAGTGTACGTTCCGTCCTGACTACTAGAGGATAAGATTGTAATGTAAATATGTTTGGGCTACCAGTATTCGGTATGAGAGATCAAACGTTCTTCCAAGGAACCAATAAGTCCCTCGCGTTTAAAACACGATTCCTTTATATATTTATATTACACCGATGTTCAAATTTTAACGTAATAATATATATTTATGTACACATAATACTTTAAAACTGTAATGTCTGTTTCAAAATCTGTATTATTTATGTTATTTTTTGTGTGTTGTTTATTTCGGAAAGTTGGCCGTAGTCAATCACCATACCATAGAATTTAAAAAGCTTGTAAGTTTACCAGCACGTGGAAGTGAGAAAATTATTATTTCTAAGCGTTTTAATGACTTTGTGGGATTTTCTGTACTAAGGCCAAAGATAAGATCATTAGCTTTATTTTAATAAATAATTATTATTTTCCCTTATATCTACAAGTAGAGCAACAACTTGTTAAAGTTTCTTGTTCCAAAACGAATTAAAGTCTTCCTTTCGTTTCAACTTTCGGGCAAAATAAAATGAATTAAGGACAGAAGTTAAAGGATAGTACGTACAATCTCGTTTTCCTATCCAAGTCAGTTGAACGACTTCTTCCTCGTTACATTAGTTCATTGTTTTGTAAAATCTATAAATTTACTAATGTTCTTGTTACTAAAGTAGACATTATGGAATAGTTTTATAAAGATTTAAAAGTTTTATTCTTCGAAAACGCATTTATTTATATATGTTTATATATTTCACAGAACATGTTTAGTTGTAAGCAAATTATAATCTATCAGAACCACTTTTATGTCCAAAAACCTGTTTTTCTGTTTGAGGTATTTGTTAATTATATTCCATTAAAATAACTTTTTCCCAGAAATAACTGTTGAGTGAATTGAAATCATTAATTATGAAAACAAAATAAAATCTATAGCAGATCCTGAGAAGAAGAAAAAGCTTTTCGTGTTTGAAAGTTTTTGTCTTGCACATGTCAGAAATGAGATAGATTAAATGCGAGATTACTGGCTTTATGATGGTTGAATACAGTGATAAAATATAGCTAAAACGATTCTACAGGTAAGAGCCGTTTATCTTTACTCGGGAGCAAATAAACGTGACTTGAATAAGTTAAGATAAAAAGAAAATAGCTAAAAACTGTTGATAAAAAATCGCAAGTATAATTGAATATTTTATCAAGGAATTCTCGTTTAAGTTTATGTGCCACTTCTAAATTAGATATGAAATCTTACTGTTCACCTAATAGGCCTCCAACCAAACTGTAAGGAACTTGCAATAAAAAAAAAGAGAGAGAACCTGAGATTTTCCGTGGGTAAGACAAGAAATACTTTTACTAATTGGTACTAAATCAAAGTTCAAATACTTTGAATTTCAAAATGTGGGAACATACAATGCATGATACTGAAAATGTAATATTTATTAGTCTGTTTTCGCCATTACACAAGCATTTGATTTCTGCGTTTTTACAGAGCTTAACAAAATATGCTACAAAATAATAATAATAATAATAATACAATTCTGTACTTGATTAAAGCTCCAAATTTATGTTAGGGGAGTTTCAAAGAAGCATTCTAACATATTAGCATAACGGTTTCTATTACCATTTGAATTCTTTTTGAATTATTCGGTAAAATAAAGATTGCGAAGTCTTGTTTACTTAATTACAACTTAAACGTTTTATTTCTTCAACTACACGTTCTAGAAGTTAACATAACTATTATTCACTGATAGATCTAAGTTTGTAGTAGACAGTAATAGAACATTTTCCTTCTCTTGCTAATTTCTCGCGTCTCTACACGACATACGGGTATCTCATATTACATAATCGAAAACAAAATCTAGCGATTCTAAAATTGAACTGACTAACAAACTCAATCAAATAATAACTCAATATTTCAGACTCAATGCAGCTTACTAATAGACTCAAAATCAATAATTATTTACTCTAGTCTAACTTGAGTTTATACTGCTCAAGCTGTTGGGGATGTTAAGCCACGCAACCCCTGACGTCAAATCTCTTTCCGGCCAAACAACAACTCAAGTGTCTAAGTTATAAAAAAGAGGAGCCTGTAACAGTAGGGTGATATATTATAATACACCGATATGCAGGCTAAGGAAACATATAAAAATATTAAGTTGTTAACATTCTTAATAACACATTTTAATGGATTGAATTTTTTGTTCAAATAGGAAATAAAAAACAATAAAACAAAACTATCAAGAAATTCGTTTCCAGTTCCAACTAAAATCTCAGTTAGGTTATACCTTACCAAGGAAATGGTTGACATTTGGGTATAGCGTCGTATTCATTCAAATTCAGCCGCCATGGTTTCTCCAGGAGACATAAAAAGGACATGTTTGCTTTACATATTTGCATAAAGTTACATAAAAATGTTAGCTGCGTAAAGATGTTTCTGATTTTGAACAAACTGGCTACAAGGAAGGCAACCAGTCAAACACACATACAGCTATTTCTTGGGCTCTACTGCCTAACCAAATAATGGGATTTGAGCATCTCTCTTACAACAAACCCACGCTTCTAAACTGCGGAGTGTGTTTTGGGGTCAAAAGGTCGCTAAGGAAAGGCGCTAAGACAACGCCACGCTCGGTTGCACACAAAAACAGAAAACTTTTGTAGTGAGAGTTTCCTTTTTGTACGACAATTATTATTACATAAAGTCACACATCTTTGTGATTTAATTGAAATAACTAATGCATGAAACAAACGTAATATGTTAAAAGTAATATATATGTTTACCAAACTTGGTTGTTACATAGTTACTCAGCTTCTTTATACAGATATAGATATAGATCTGACTATTTTAATATAATATTTATTCACATTGTCACTTCTCCAAGTGTGAGTACTTATTTATTTATAAAAAAAATCAACTTTTTATACTCTCAATTTAAAAAGTATGATGGTAGATATGTATATACACTTCTGTAGCTTTAGTAATAAAGACTGATCGCAATGTTTACTAAAGCTGATACGAAAGTCTTACCAACCGTTTGTAACAAAGTTTGACAATAAAACTTAATTAGAACAGATGTATAATGTTAAGAGATTTAAGTTATTTATTGTAAGCAAATGTAGTTTCCTGCTACAATTTGGAGTAATTCTAGAAAGAAAAAAGGATAATTTTGATTTATTTTGTGTTTTTATGGTGGTTACGAGGCTGGTCAAACTGATCGACTTTACATAAAATTAGGATAGTGAATACAGCAGATAAAATATGAAGATATATCTAAAAAAGGTTGAAAATATATTTCGAAGGTGCTATAGATTACACAAAAGAAATTTGTTAATTTTTAGGTGGAGAAAAGTATTTTTAATCTCAACATAAAAATCTCTTTTACATTCGGAGCAGTGACTAGTTTGATTCCATATACTAAAACATTAATTTTTAGCAAAAATACTTTATTAGAA